ACTGCCCTCAGTATAGCCACAGACCAGCGGCAGGCTGGCCACAGATCAGCGGCAGGCTGGCCTCAGTAGCCACAGACCAGCGTCAGGCTGCCCTCAGTAGCCACAGACCAGCGGCAGGCTGGCCAAAGATCAGCGGCAGGCTGGCCTCAGTAGCCACAGACCAGCGGCAGGCTGGCCTCAGGAGCCACAGACCAGCGGCAGGCTGCCCTCAGGAGCCACAGACCAGCGGCAGGCTGCCCTCAGTAGCCACAGACCAGCGGCAGGCTGCCCTCAGTAGCCACAGACCAGCGGAAAGGCTGGCCTCAGGAGCAACAGACCAGCGGCAGGCTGCCCTCAGGAGCCACAGACCAGCGGCAGGCTGCCCTCAGGAGCAACAGACCAGAGGCAGGCTGGCCCCAGTAGCCACAGACCAGCGGCAGGCTGCCCTCAGGAGCCACAGACCAGCGGCAGGCTGGCCTCAGTAGCCCCAGACCAGCGGCAGGCTGGCCTCAGGAGCCACAGACCAGCGGCAGGCTGGCCTCAGGAGCCACAGACCAGCGGCAGGCTGGCCTCAGGAGTCACAGACTATCGGCAGGCTGTCCTCAGGATCCACAGACCAGTGGCAGGCTGGCCAAAGATCAGCGGCAGGCTGGCCTCAGTAGCCACAGACCAGCGGCAGGCTGGCCTCAGGAGCCACAGACCAGCGGCAGGCTGCCCTCAGGAGCCACAGACCAGCGGCAGGCTGCCCTCAGTAGCCACAGACCAGCGGCAGGCTGCCCTCAGTAGCCACAGACCAGCGGAAAGGCTGGCCTCAGGAGCAACAGACCAGCGGCAGGCTGCCCTCAGGAGCCACAGACCAGCGGCAGGCTGCCCTCAGGAGCAACAGACCAGAGGCAGGCTGGCCCCAGTAGCCACAGACCAGCGGCAGGCTGCCCTCAGGAGCCACAGACCAGCGGCAGGCTGGCCTCAGTAGCCCCAGACCAGCGGCAGGCTGGCCTCAGGAGCCACAGACCAGCGGCAGGCTGGCCTCAGGAGCCACAGACCAGCGGCAGGCTGGCCTCAGGAGCCACAGACCAGCGGCAGGCTGGCCTCAGGAGCCACAGACAAGTGGCAGGCTGGCCACAGACCAGCGGCAGGCTGGCCTCAGAAGCCACAGACAAGTGGCAGGCTGGCCACAGACCAGCGGCAGGCTGGCCTCAGAAGCCACAGACAAGTGGCAGGCTGGCCAGAGACCAGCGGCAGGCTGGCCTCAGAAGCCACAGACAAGAGGCAGGCTGGCCACAGACCAGCGGCAGGCTGGCCTCAGAAGCCACAGACAAGTGGCAGGCTGGCCACAGACCAGCGGCAGGCTGGCCTCAGAAGCCGCAGACAAGTGGCAGGCTGGCCACAGACCAGCGGCAGGCTGGCCTCAGGAGCCACAGACCAGCGGCAGGCTGGCCTCAGGAGCCACAGACCAGCGGCAGGCTGGCCTCAGGAGCCACAGACAAGTGGCAGGCTGGCCACAGACAAGTGGCAGGCTGGCCACAGACCAGCGGCAGGCTGGCCTCAGATGCCACGGACCAGAGAATGTTCCACTTAAAGTCTAATAACATTTGCAGTTTGTGATCAAGACATGAAGACTTATATGTGCCGTCACCACACTGACACCTTTGACTCCTTAATATCACGAAAATTACACTCTGAAACCAGAATAATTTCAACGTCCCCGCAGCCCGGTCTCCGATCAAGCCTCCTGGTTTGATCAACCAGGTTGTTCGATGCGGCTGCTCGCAGCCTTACGTACAAGTCACAGCCTGGCCCACTAAATGTTACTTGTTTCTGTTTTGTTTAGGCGGAGTATGAGTATTTATGATTCGTATGATTGCTTCAGTAAAATTATGTCCAACGTGTTTGACAACTTCTTCTGCTCTGTTGACTCGTAGTTGAAATCTTATTGGGTTTGTAACTGTGCACTGTTAGATAATATTCTAGTGGAGGTATACTTTGGAGGTGTTTATCCAGTTCTCTCATGAACACTGTGAGCGGTCGGCCAGTTATGCCCCTTATGTGTAGTGGAAGCGTGTTGAACAGTCTCGGGACTCTGATGATGATAGAGTTCTCTCAGAGTACCTGTTGCACCTCTGCTCTTCAACGGGGGTATTCTGCACATTCTGCCATGCCTTCTGGTCTCATGTGGTGTTATTTATGTGTGCAGGTTTGGGACCAGCCCCTCTATTAATGTCCACGTGTGAAAATCCACTGGGACTATAGGTGGGCGCGAATCTATGACCCCGGCATTGTCAGTCGCGTACTGGAACTCTCTGCCAGTCGTAGTGGGTCGTGGGTCAGACTCCACCTATAGTGCCAGTGGATTTTCTCCTTGATATGTATCACGTTAATGTGATTTCTGTGTTTCCAAGTTTATTATGTGCCAAAGTTTATTATATATATATATATATATATATATATATATATATATATATATATATATATATATATATATATATATATATATATATATATATATATATATATATATATATTAGTATATTTTGGTAGCAGTCTTTCCTGTAGACATATATTATTAAATATGACCGAAAAAGTAAGATTAATATTTCTGACACGAATTTTCTCAATGTTTCTTACATTTTTCTTCACTGTTGATGGTAACTGAAAAATCAATTCTCAAAAATTCATTTTTATTTCTAGTCTGACGTGACACTTGAGCGCGTTTCGTAAAACTTATTACATTTTCAAAGACTTTAGTTTACACACACACAACTATAACTGAACAGAGCTTAAACATCTTCGATTTTTTATACCTGCATTTGGGTGAGGTGATATGTTACAACAGTTTTAGATGAGGTGAAAACAAACTTTCAACACAAGACAGAACAGGAAACAATGGATTTAATATTTTGTAAGTTAAAAGGAAGAATGGAAGTAACTGCAAAGGGCCTATTGGCCCATATTGCGTAGTCTTGAAGTGGGTAGATTATAGTTGTACATTAATTGGCTGTTGATTGCTGGTGTCGACTTCTTAATGTGTAGTGCCTCGCAGATATCTAGCCGCCTGCTATTGCTGTATCTATCGATGATTTCCATGTTTTTTGTTAATTTTTTTGTTTTTTGTTATATATATATATATATATATATATATATATATATATATATATATATATATATATATATATATATATATATATATATATATATATATATATATATATATATATATATATATATATATATATATATATATATATATATTTAAAGGAGTATTTTGATATGGTGGGCAAGGATTAACGTCACTATGCACTGTGGGGGAATGTTTTTTGAGGCGTGCAAGGGATTAGCAGTGCGGGAGGATGTCATGAAAACGTCTGAGTGATGTTTCCGGTCGTTTCGAGAATTGTTGATGTTAAAAATATATGTAAGTCGGTGGCTGGGTTTCGAGACCTCAACAGGGCGTTGAGTCATGATCCTGTGTTGGAGACATTGAGATTTAATGCTATCTTGGTTATCTTGAAATGAATTTGGGGCTTAGTGTCCCCGTGGCCCGGTCCTCGAAAAGGCCTCCACCCACCGGAAGCAGACCGTAGCAGCTGTCTAACTCCCAGGTACCTATTTACTGCTAGGTAACAAGGGCATCAGGTGAAAGAAACATTTTGCCCATTTGTCTCCGCCTCCATCGGGGATCGAACCCAGAACCTCAGGACTACGAATCCGAAACGCTGTCCACCCAGCTGTCAGGGGCCTTTTGAGGCGCCTGACAGGCGTCTTACTAACCCCTTTTGAGGCGCCTGACAGGCGTCTTGCTCACCCATTTTGAGGCGATAGACAAGATTGAAGGGTATAATTGGATAGAAATGGTATGAAAAGGGGTTTTACTTAGGGTATTTATCAGACATTGGTAAATTCCAGTGTGTGTGAACATTGTGCTATTTCTTTTGCTTCTTATGTATAGGTATTCTGTAGTTTATTCCATTTCATAGCATTCGGTAATGATTGCCCCATCTAGGATGGAATTATATAGATGCTGTATGTCCTCCTCAAAAGTCCTTCTGCAATTTCAGTCTTATGTTCAATATACGATCTTTCAATAAGAAATAATCTTAGTAGGGAGAAGAAGTATGGCTGGCTGATAAGTCATTGTACGTTAAGGATGACGAAAGGGAGCCTCTTTAATCTCTTTGGGGGAAAAATATTGAAAATGGGGATAAATATGAAAATGACATTAAATATGCCATCACAGAAAAGGGACTTAATAATTGAAGATGAAGACTGGCTGGCTGATGTCATATGAATATTGGGGATGTACCTGTGCAGGTCGCCGAGGGGACTACGTTTCGGGATGACGGAAACCTGCTGTTTAATCTCCTTGGGTCAAATAGTAGGATGTGGAAGAGAGCCATTTAATCCTGCTTTGGAAAATTGTATATGACGGAAGGTAGCGAACGTTAAATGATTTAAAACATTAGGAGACTATTAGACACCATCGAATAAAAAATGACAGCACCCCCGTGTGTTAGAGGAGACCGTCGGGAAAAGCAAAGCGGCGCCCTCCAGTCATAATTCCCACTGTCCCCCATCAACCTCTGAAATAACAAAGATTTTTCACACCTCAAGACCACCCGCCCATTTCGCAGCTTCTGGATTCCACAGAGGTCTGCTATCGAAAGTCGGACAACATTAACGATGATTTCGCAGTGTGACGTAGTTCACCAGCTTGTTACACTCGTGGTATGCCCCCCGTGTCCCCAACATGAGGCACGATGTAACTACACCACTGAAACAAGCTACGGGTCACCCCACCTGTGCTACTGCAGAAAAGCTCCGATTCAGCAATGAGTCTGGACCGCCTGGATCCGGCCATGACGGTGGTCAGCTCCCAAATATTACATTCGTACATGATCATGATGCAGCAATGAGTGACACTTGTGCTCCACCTCACACTAAAATGCAAATATTTTATCTTGAATTTAAATATTCCATTGTTAACCAGACAAAAATATATTCATTAAATGTTTTGTCACTGACAGGAGGATTGTTCTTCGCCGGGAAGATGAGGGAGGCGCGCTACATGACCATATTGGACCCGCTACAGGACCGCTACGGGCCTCGCTGGGGCGCTATGCTGTATCTGCCCGCGCTGGTCGGGGAGACCCTCTGGTCAGCCTCCATCCTCGCTGCCCTCGGTAAGTACCTCGCTATGATTGGTGCCCTCGGTAAGTATCTCGCTATGATTGGTGCCCTCGGTAAGTACCTTGCTATGATTGCTGCCCTCGGTAAGTACCTCAATAGTCCGTTGCTATGTTGGGTGCCCGCTGTAAGTACCTCACCTTTCCCTGACCCATGTTGCGTGCCCGCTGTATCACACTGTTCCCTGACCCATGTTGGGTGCCCGCTGTATCACACTGTTCCCTGACCCATGTTGGGTGCCCGCTGTATCACACTGCTCCCTGACCCATGTTGGGTGCCCGCTGTATCACACTGCTCCCTGACCCATGTTGGGTGCCCGCTGTATCACACTGCTCCCTGACCCATGTTGGGTGCCCGCTGTATCACACTGCTCCCTGACCCATGTTGGGTGCCCGCTGTATCACACTGCTCCCTGACCCATGTTGGGTGCCCGCTGTATCACACTGCTCCCTGACCCATGTTGGGTGCCCACTGTATCACACTGCTCCCTGACCCATGTTGGGTGCCCGCTGTATCACACTGCTCCCTGACCCATGTTGGGTGCCCGCTGTATCACACTGCTCCCTGACCCATGTTGGGTGCCCGCTGTATCACACTGCTCCCTGACCCATGTTGGGTGCCCGCTGTATCACACTGCTCCCTGACCCATGTTGGGTGCCCGCTGTATCACACTGCTCCCTGACCCATGTTGGGTGCCCGCTGTATCACACTGCTCCCTGACCCATGTTGGGTGCCCGCTGTATCACACTGCTCCCTGACCCATGTTGGGTGCCCGCTGTATCACACTGCTCCCTGACCCATGTTGGGTGCCCGCTGTATCACACTGCTCCCTGACCCATGTTGGGTGCCCGCTGTATCACACTGCTCCCTGACCCATGTTGGGTGCCCGCTGTATCACACTGCTCCCTGACCCATGTTGGGTGCCCGCTGTATCACACTGCTCCCTGACCCATGTTGGGTGCCTGCTGTATCACACTGCTCCCTGACCCATGTTGGGTGCCCGCTGTATCACACTGCTCCCTGACCCATGTTGGGTGCCCGCTGTATCACACTGTACCCTGACCCATGTTGGGTGCCCGCTGTATCACACTGCTCCCTGACCCATGTTGGGTGCCCGCTGTATCACGCTGCTCCCTGACCCATGTTGGGTGCCCGCTGTATCACGCTGCTCCCTGACCCATGTTGGGTGCCCGCTGAATCACACTGCTCCCTGACCCATGTTGGGTGCCCGCTGTATCACACTGCTCCCTGACCCATGTTGGGTGCCCGCTGTATCACACTGCTCCCTGACCCATGTTGGGTGCCCGCTGTATCACACTGCTCCCTGACCCATGTTGGGTGCCCGCTGTATCACACTGCTCCCTGACCCATGTTGGGTGCCCGCTGTATCACACTGCTCCCTGACCCATGTTGGGTGCCCGCTGTATCACACTGCTCCCTGACCCATGTTGGGTGCCCGCTGTATCACACTGCTCCCTGACCCATGTTGGGTGCCCGCTGTATCACACTGCTCCCTGACCCATGTTGGGTGCCCGCTGTATCACACTGTTCCCTGACCCATGTTGGGTGCCCGCTGTATCACACTGCTCCCTGACCCATGTTGGGTGCCCGCTGTATCACACTGCTCCCTGACCCATGTTGGGTGCCCGCTGTATCACACTGCTCCCTGACCCATGTTGGGTGCCCGCTGTATCACACTGTTCCCTGACCCATGTTGGGTGCCCGCTGTATCACACTGCTCCCTGAGTATGTTGGGTGCTCTCGGAAACCTGGATTGTCAACCCTTCCTCCGAATAGACAGTAGGTTTTTTTAATACTAAATGTAATAAGTATAATCCTGACTCTCTGCATAATAAATAATTACAATTAATTTTGCTGTTAAATTTACCTCCCCCATATATTCTCCTCATTTTCTGTTAAGTTAATACACTCAAAACTTTTAGGTTGAAGTTTTTGTGTTCAACTCTCTATACGCAAGTTTTAAATTAAAGGAATTTCTTTTTGAGTTTTATTAAACAATTGAGGTTTTATAATATTTTTTAAATATCCTGAGTTACTTTATAATTTGTTGAAAGACTAATTGTAATTAAGAAAGCAATAAATGCTATTTACATGTTTGACCTCCTACACTCCCAAGGTTAGGTTAGGTTAGGTTAGGTCGTGGTTTTCTAGACAGGTTTTCAGGTAAGCTCTAATATTCACAGTATTTTGGTGCGATGCTGGCAATTAAGTGTATTTCTGTACTATGCCGATAGTCAGAATTGTACTTACTACATTTAGTATTAAAACGTACTGTCTATTCGGAGGATGGACTGTGGATTGTATCTGGATGACGTTGTGAGAGTTCTTCTTCTCCCTAAGTAGAAGCTTGGCCTGGGACCAAGCTTAACTTGTGATAACTTGGTCCACCAGGCTGTTGCTTGGAGCGGCCCGCAGCCCCACATATTCATAACAGACTCTTTGGTCCGGCATTTCTTGCAGAAAACTACCACCTAAGTTCTGGCAAGTTACTAATAATAGCTAGGAGGGTATATACCAGCCGTGGACCTCTGATGTTTATACAGTGTTCTCTGATTGTGCCTATGGCACCCCTGCTCTTCACTGGTTCTATTCTGTGTTTTCTTCCACATCGTTCACTCCGTTATGTTGTTATTTTACTGTGTAAATTAGGGACCTGGCCCTGCAGTATTTTCCAGAAATATATATTATGTGATACTTCTCTCATCTCCTTTCTAGGGAGTACATTTTGAGAGCGTTGAGACGGTCCCAATAGTTAAGGTGCTCTACCATGTCTTTGTATACCGTATATATATATATATATATATATATATATATATATATATATATATATATATATATATATATATATATATATATATATATATATATATATATATATATATATATATATATATATATATATGTCGTACCTAGTAGCCAGAACGCACTTCTCGGCCTACTATTCAAGGCCCGATTTGCCTAATAAGCAAAGTTTTCCTGAATTAATATATTTTCTCTGATTTTTTTCTTATGAAATGATAAAGCTACCCATTTCATTATGTATTAGGTCAATTTTTTTTTATTGGAGTTAAAATTAACGTAGATATATGACCGAACCTAACCAACCCTACCTAACCTAACCTAACCTATCTTTATAGGTTAGGTTGGGTTAGGTAGCCGAGAAAGTTAGGTTAGGTTAGGTTAGGTAGGTTAGATAGTCGAAAAACAATTAATTCATGAAAACTTAGCTTATTAGGCAAATCGGGCCTTGCATAGTAGGCTGAGAAGTGAGTTCTGGCTACTATGTACGACATATATATATATATATATATATATATATATATATATATATATATGTCGTACCTAGTAGCCAGAACTCACTTCTCAGCCTACTATTCAAGGCCCGATTTGCCTAATAAGCCAAGTTTTCCTGAATTAATATATTTACTATAATTTTTTTCTTATGAAATGATAAAGCAACCCTTTTCTCTATGTATGAGGTCAATTTTTTTTTATTGGAGTTAAAATTAACGTAGATATATGACCGAACCTAACCAACCCTACCTAACCTAACCTAACCTATATTTATAGGTAAGATTAGGTTAGGTAGCCAAAAAAAGCTAGGTTAGGTTAGGTTAGGTAGGTTAGGTAGACGAAAAAACATTAATTCATGAAAACTTGGCTTATTAGGCAAATCGGGCCTTGAATAGTAGGCTGAGAAGTGCGTTCTGGCTATTAGGTACGACATATATATATATATATATATATATATATATATATATATATATATATGTCGTACCTAGTAGCCAGAACTCACTTCTCAGCCTACTATGCAAGGCCCGATTTGCCTAATAAGCCAAGTTTTACTGAATTAATATATTTTCTCTAATTTTTTTCTTATGAAATGATAAAGCTACCCATTTCATTATGTATGAGGTCAATTTTTTTATTGGAGTTAAAGTTAACGTAGATATATGACCGAACCTAACCAACCCTACCTAACCTAACCTAACCTATCTTTATAGGTTAGGTTAGGTTAGGTAGCCAAAAACGTTAGGTTAGGTTAGGTTAGGTAGGTTAGGTTGTCGAAAAAACATTAATTCATGAAAACTAGGCTTATTAGGCAAATCGGGCCTTGCATAGTAGGCTGAGAAGTGAGTTCTGGCTACTAGGTACGACATATATATATATATATATATATATATATATATATATATATATATATATATATATATATATATATATATATATATATATATATATATATATATGTTTTTTGAGATATATACAAGAGTTGTTACATTATTGTATAGCCACTAGTACGCGTAGCGTTTCAGGCAGGTCCCTGGAATACGATCCCCGCCGCGAAGAATCGTTGTTACAACCAAGTACACATTTTACTGTTGAGTTAAACAGAGGCTACAGTTAAGGATTTTCGCCCAGTAAATCCTCCCCAGCCAGGATACGAACCCATGACAAAGCGCTCGCGGAACGCCAGACGAGTGTCTTACCACTACACCACGGAGACTGTCGAAGACAGTCTCCGTGTCAGTACAGACAGTAACAGTAAGACAGTAACAGTGACAGTAAGACAGACAGTCTTACCACTACTGCCACGGAGACCACGGATATGTCCTCTGTATTCCCTCTATTTTAACAATCTCTCCTGCTCTGAAGGGGAAAGTGAGTACTGAGCAGTACTCAAGACGGGACAACACAAGTGATTTGAACAGTACAATAATTGTGATGGGATCCCTGGATTTGAAGGGTCTCGTAATCCAACATTATAGAATCTAGCAAATGCTATATTTGCTTGGTTATCCTCTCTTAAAGTTAGGTCGTAATAAATCCTTATTCCCAGATGTTACACATGTTGCAAATCCTGCTATGGGCAGATTTTATTGTCTTGTTCCCTGTATTTTCTTTAAGGTCTTCATTTTCACCATACTTAAGACTCTGGAATTTTTCACTGTTAAATATCAAGCTATTTTCTGCTGCCGAATGAAAAGCTTTATTAATATCAGCTCGTAGTTTTCCAATGTAACTTTGGTTTTTGTCTATATCTGATATAAGAATAAGGAAAAACAGTGGTGCAAGGACTATGCCCTAAGGTACAGAGCTTTTAAAAGTGCTTGGACTCGACTTTATTTGACTGTCACTCTTTGCGTTCTGTTTGACAGAAAACTGAATAAATATCCACCGTCCTACTTTATCTGTTATTCCTATTGACTTCACTTTGTGGGCTATCACTCCATGGTCACATTTATCAAATGCCTTTGTGAAGTATATGTATACCACATCTGCAGTTTGTTTTTCTTCTAATGCATCAATGATTTTGACACAGTAGACGAGTAGCTATGAAAGGCATGATCTTCCCGCTCTAAGTCCTCGTTGACCTGGGTTGTGGAGATCATTGGTCTCCTGACTCATGATCATGCTCTCAAAAAGTTGGCTATGTGGTCGTCCTCCCTTGTTAGTGCGACTTGTATATAATTCTTAGCCAATGTTTTGCTCCCTTGTATTGGCAGCTGTATCCGTTGATATAAGCGCTTCTGGTATTTCCCCGGTGTCCAAGATATGTATCCACGCTACACTGAGTGCCTGTGCTACTGTCACTTTGCATTTCTTTATAAACATTGAGTTCCAGGAGTCTGGACCCGGAGCCGAGTGCATGGGCATGCTGTCTTTTCTCTTTCAAAATGTGCAGCGTTAGTGTTAATGTCAGTGAGATTCTCAGGGGTTTGGATGTCATGCATAAAGAAGCTGTCCGTGCCTTCCACTTTCATGTTGTTTATTAGGGTGCTGAACATGTCCTCATACTGCTTGTTCTCTGTCGTCCTCTGGGGGTCGTCCTCTATGGTCGTCCTCTGCGGGTCGTCTTCTATGGTCGTCCTCTGTGGTCGTCTTCTGTGGTCGTCTTCTATGGTCGTCTTCTATGGTCGTCTTCTGTGGTCGTCTTCTATGGTCGTCTGTGGTCGTCTTCTATGGTCGTCTTCTGTGGTCGTCTTCTATGGCCGTCTTCTGTGGTCGTCTTCTGTGGTCGTCTTCTGTGGCCGTCTTCTATGGTCGTCCTCTGTGGTCGTCTTCTATTTCCGTCCACTGTTGTCGTCTTCTATGGCCGTCCTCTGTGGTCGTCCTCTGTTGTCGTCTTCAATGGCCGTCCTCTGTGGTCGTCCTCTGTGGTCGTCTTCTATGGCCGTCCTGTGGTCGTCTTCTGTGGTCATCCTCTGTGGTCGTCTTCTGTAGTCGTCCTCTGTGATCGTCCTATGTGGTCGTTTATTTTCGTCCTCTGTGGTCGTTTATTTTCGTCCTCTGTGGCCGTCTTCTATGGTCGTCTTCTATGTCGTCTTCTGTGGTCGTCCTCTGTGGTCGTCTTGTATGATCGTCTTCTATGGCCGTCTTCTATGGTCGTCTTCTGTGGTCGTTCTCTGTGGTCGTCTTTTGTGATCGTCTTCTATGGCCGTCTTCTGTGGTCGTCTTCTGTGTCCGTCTTCTATGGTCGTCTTCTGTGGTCGTCCTCTGTGGTCGTCTATGTTCGTCCTCTGTGGTTGTCTTCTGTGGCCATCTTCTATGGCCATCTTCTGTGGTCGTCTTCTATGGTCGTCTTCTGTGGTCGTCCTCTGTGGTCGTCTATGTTCGTCCTCTGTGGTTGTCTTCTGTGGCCATCTTCTATGGCCATCTTCTGTGGTCGTCTTCGGTGATCGTCCTCTGTGGTTGTTTTATGTGGTCGTCTTCTGTGGTTGTTTTATGTGGTCGTCTTCTGTGGTTGTTTTATGTGGTCGTCCTCTGTGGTCGTCTTCGGTGATCGTCCTCTGTGGTCGTCCTCTGTGGTCGTCTTCTGTGATCGTCCTCTGTGGTCATCCTCTGTGATCGTCTTATGTGGTCGTTTTTCGTGGTCGTCTTCGGTGATCGTCCTCTGTGGTCGTCTTCTGTGGTCGTCTTCGGTGATCGTCCTCTGTGGTCGTCCTCTGTAGTCGTCTTCTGTGATCGTTCTCTGTGGTCATCCTCTGTGATCGTCTTATGTGGTCGTCCTCTGTGCATGAACCTTCACTTGTAATTACAGGTCCAATACCGTGGGAATATTTTTATTTCGATTTCACAAATGTGAAGAAAAATATATTTTTCTATACCTCTTGCATGACTTTCTGTCCTAGTTGCATTTCTTCACTCTGATGTTCGTTTTAGTCTCTGTTCAGTGTCTTCACTCTCCCTCTTTAAATTATTCTTTCTTTGTTGAGAGACTCTTGTCTGCTTAAGCATTTCCGTTATTTGTTATTTATTTCAATCGACTTGAGAATGGTCCAGGACGGACCGAAACGTCGTCGCTCCTTCAACTTCTAGTGTGTGGTCTGGTCAACATACTTCAGCCACGTTATTGTGACTCATCGCCTGCATTTGTTCCTTCTTTTGTAGTGCCGTCTGCGTTCTCTTCTCTTATTAAGCTGGTTCTCTTTCTGACTTTCCACAAAGGAACATATTCCAAGCTGACATTATAAGCTTCGACAGTCAGTTGTTCTATTCCTTGTGTGGTATTTTTATCTGAATAGTTCTTAATTAAATGTATGTAAGTTCCATATTTTTTTTCTTGCTTACAGTCTAACATATTATTATTAAATTTAATTTATTGAGTAACCATTCTCGCTTGATGCTTTATTTAGACCTATTACAAGTATTGATGTGAGTTTGTGTGAGTATGTGGTGTCCCAGACTGTAATGTTCCTCATTACTCCTTCATTGTTTGTGAAGATCAGATCTACGGACCTTACTGGTCTCTGGCTGTGTTGGGTCCCTTGGGAAAATAGAAGGTGGCCGTGTTCACCGCCAGTATAACAGTGGGTGTTCTACCTCAGGGTCGACACTGACCGTCATCCTGGACATAAACAACCAGTATAACAGTGGGTGTTCTACCTCAAGGTCGACACTGACCGTCATCCTGGACATAAACAACCAGTATAACAGTGGGTGTTCTATCTCAAGGTCGACACTGACCGTCATCCTGGACATAAACAACCAGTATAACAGTGAGTGTTCTTCCTCAGGGTCGACGCTGACCGTCATCCTGTACATAAACAACCAGTATAACAGTGGGTGTTCTTCCTCAGGGTCGACGCTGACCGTCATCCTGTACATAAACAACCAGTATAACAGTGAGTGTTCTTCCTCAGGGTCGACGCTGACCGTCATCCTGTACATAAACAACCAGTATAACAGTGGGTGTTCTTCCTCAGGGTCGACGCTGACCGTCATCCTGTACATAAACAACCAGTATAACAGTGGGTGTTCTTCCTCAGGGTCGACGCTGACCGTCATCCTGTACATAAACAACCAGTATAACAGTGAGTGTTCTTCCTCAGGGTCGACGCTGACCGTCATCCTGTACATAAACAACCAGTATAACAGTGGGTGTTCTTCCTCAGGGTCGACGCTGACCGTCATCCTGTACATAAACAACCAGTATAACAGTGGGTGTTCTTCCTCAGGGTCGACGCTGACCGTCATCCTGGACATAAACAACCAGTATAACAGTGAGTGTTCTTCCTCAGGGTCGACGCTGACCGTCATCCTGGACATAAACAACCAGTATAACAGTGAGTGTTCTTCCTCAGGGTCGACGCTGACCGTCATCCTGTACATAAACAACCAGTATAACAGTGGGTGTTCTTCCTCAGGGTCGACGCTGGCCATCATCGAGGACTTAAACACCACGGTCTCCATCTTTTTGTCGGGCGGCGTCGTTGTAGTGTACACGCTCTTCGACGGCTTCCACCCCGTCGCCTACCCCAATGCACACAGAGACGTCGTCCAGCTCTTCTCCATCTTCCTGGGCCTGGTCAGTCACCAACCCTCTGCTGACTAACCTCATGTAATGCTTTATGTATACAATTATTTCATGCATGTTTGTATTTACCTGAATACCACCATCTACAGTGATCGCGACAGGGACAGGAAGCCGCCGGCTTGTCAATTGTTCCCCCATTATTCCTGAGAAACTGTCCAGTTGAATTTTTTACATGAAGCATTGTTTTGACGGCTTCGGCGGGTAGGCGGTACCATTGGTATATTTACCTGACGAGGAAGAGCACTTGTTGCTTTCTGTTCTACATCAAGGCTATTTTTGACCAGACCACACACTAGAAATTGAAGGGACGACGACGTTTCGGTCCGTCCTGGACCATTCTCAAGTCGATTGAATCAAGATCAAGAATCGACTTGAGAATGGTCCAGGACGGACCGAAACGTCGTCGTCCCTTCAATTTCTAGTGTGTGGTCTGGTCAACATACTTCAGCCACGTTATTGTGACTCATCGCCTGCATACATCAAGGCTAGTTAAGTCTGATGTTGTTCTCACGTGTGCTTCACGTAAGACTGTGTGTGTGCTTCACGTGGGACTGTGTGTGTGCTTCACGTGGGACTGTGTGTGTGCTTCACGTGGGACTGTGTGTGTGCTTTATGTGGGACCGTGTGTGTGTGCTTCACGTGGGACTGTGTGAGTGCTTCATGTGGGACCGTGTGTGTGCTTCACGCGGACCCGTGTGTGTGTGCTTCATGTGGGACCGTGTGTGTGTGCTTCAAGTGGGACCGTGTGTGTGCTTCACGTGAGACCGTGTGTGTGCTTCACGTGGGACCGTGTGTGTGCTTCACGTGAGACCGTGTGTGTGCTTCACGTGGGACCGTGTGTGTGCTTCACGTGGGACCGTGTGTGTGCTTCACGCACCAACACACCCAACACCACCACACCCAGCACCACCACACCCAACACCACCTCACCCCAGTCTGTTCCCAACCTCTGTGCAGAGCAGACGTGCGGGTCAGGTGCTTCGCTATAGCCAGGCCGCACCCTCAGACATTGAGTATGAACTCTTCTCAATAATGCTCACTCACTGTGCCCTGCCATAGCGTCCCTCACACAATAACAAGCAAAGTGAATCTTGCCGGCAGTGCCTTAACAGAGTTTCTTAGAGAAATGCGGAGCTTGTGTGTGAGGGTGGCAAAACTCTTGAATAGGATTAGTTAGTCTCTAGAGCCAGCATTCTTAGGCAGCTCTGAACCTATAGGTAGGAACATTAGAGTGAGCACAATTTATATATATATATATATATATATATATATATATATATATATATATATATATATATATATATATATATATATATATATATATATATATATATATATATGTGTATATATTGGCCATCTAGGAGCCTATCCTTATTTGAAATACAGACCAGTTGTTCAATTGACTGAGATCTGTGGCAGCCACACACGCTGTGCTATACCAGTATGTGTGTGTGTGTGTGAGGGGAGGCATCCAGCGCTGACCACAGGGTACCCCACCACCTGTTTACTGAAGAGGCCTGTGGTCACCTAGGGTGGCAATCCAGGCCCTATTATACTGTTTTGTAAGGACCATTCTCCTCTGGCATACGTAACCCTCGGCTTTTAGTCCTACTGAGACCCACTGAGAGTGCTCTACCCCTCATTGAAGGTTTATGACTGTTGGCCCGGATGACTGGTAAGGCATGCTGCCTGCTCTGCCATTTGTCGTGCTAACCATCATCATATGATTATCAATGATAACCAGGTATCGGACATAGTTACTTCAAGTAACGTCGCCTGAAGAAGCAGGTATGGAGGAGGTAGCTGCTGGACCCTCAGGGCTCTCCCCTACCGTGACCAGTGACACTGTCACCCCATCACCCAGTGATGGGTTTGTGGAGGTGGTAAGTAAGAGCCAGAAAAGGAAACAAGGGAAACAGAAGCCTGGGGAACAACAGGGTGGACGACCTCCAATAGCACCAAGGAGCAAGTAGACACTTCGTAACCTTCCCTAAAGGCACGAGAGTGGCGGACAAGATTGTGTGGAGTAAGAAACTGAGTAAGGAGTACCCACCTGGCTCTGCAGGCGTGGTACGTCCACATGTCAACTCCTCATATGTGTATGTTTCAAGAGAGAAGTGCAAGTTGTGGAGGCTCTTCTACAAGGGAAAATAGGTGATGTAAAGCTCTCCCTTCTAGATAATCCAAGACGGAATAAGAAGATGGATGAATACCTTGTCTACAGGTACAGTCATGGGTATCCACTAGAGTGGGCCTATGAATTAGACGGGGTACACAAAGCACGAAGATTGTCCAAGAATGGTAAGCCTACTGATCAAATAGTCATAGTCTGGAAGAAGCCTGAACTGCCACCTGACCAGTATTATTTTGGTGGGTTGTATGCGTGTCCCAGCACGTTCAGGGTGTGGCAGCCAGACCCTGTGGAGTGTTACGAGGGCTGTGGCAGTGACCACATAGTTAAGCACTGCTGGTGCCCCACACCCAAGTGTGCTCTCTGTTCCGGTTCTCACCCACTGAAGGACTGTCCGCATAAGAAGACCAGAAACCAAGGAAAGCTGGAACAGGAGCAACAGAACACTGTAACAGAAGCAGGGCAACAACCTGAAACTGTGGCTCCGTCTAAACCGCCGCTAAAGTGCTTCAGATGTGGTACTGAAGGAATCACCATCTGGCACTCAGACTGTACCAAACGGCCAGCCTCCCTTGGCACAAGGAGGTAAGTGCCCGAGACTCATCAAGTGCCTACTGATGCCGGCTCTAGTACTGCTGACCCACCCCATAGCGGTGACAGTACCAGCAACGCCCCTGACAACACACAGCAGCCTGAGACAACAGTTAAAGGACAGTTGGCAGCCATGCAAACACAGGTAGCAGAACTGGCCGAAATCATAAAGACGCTACGTCGGGCTCCTTCACAAGAGATACAGCAGCCTCCACACTGCTGTGTCACAGCCGTGGCCCGCGCTGGTAAAGGTACCTGCGGTGTTGGTGACGGCAGCGGCGGCGACGGCCGCAACGGTGGCAGAGATGAGAGCGACAACGGAGGCGGTGGCAGCGACGTCATCAGTCAACTCAGGGATGACAGCAGTGTTAGTGACACAGAACCATTAACTGGAAAAGTAAGTCTATCCGATCTGCATCAGCATATATTAAAATGATTAATGACCTTAACGAACGTGCTCGAGCCAAGTACGAGAATGAAAATGATAATATTCTGCGTGACAGTAATTATGCCCTACGACTTACAGAAAACGTTCACTCACGGACCATTCCGAGTTGCACAGTGATTAAGAAACTGATGATGTCACCAGATGTTCCTGACGACACCAAACGCCAGGTTGGTGTGGCTCTTTACGTCGTAGTCACTTATTGACACATTGTGTAAGTGGGATAAGGACAACAATGGGACCACCAGTCCCAGGGAGGAACAACACCAAGACGATGGCTGCTGCTGACACAAGGACCATTAGGTTTCTCAGGTGGAACATTCGTAGCATCAACAAAAGACTGAATGATCTAATTGCACATGTTACCAGTAACAACATAGATATAATTGCTATACAGGAGCCCTACACGTCCAACATGATAAGCAAAATCCCACCAAAGATCAGAGGGTATGCATCCTATACTAACAGTAACGCCACAGGCCTATTAACATACATCAGAAGTGATTTACCACACATTCTTGTGAGCACGTCACACAGTGTACACGCACAGTACCATCACTTTCATGTACAAACTGCATCAGGCCACTTTTCATTCCTCAACGTATATGCCAGAAGCCAGAAACTCAATGTAACATTGCTCCCAGATCTAGACAATCATGGGACCATATACGTGGGAGATTTTAATGCTAGACATATTACGCTGGGAGACATTACTAACAACGATAATGGATGCAAATTTATAAAATATGTTTATGACAACAGATTAACCGTGTATACTACGGATACCCAAACTCATTTATTGGGAGGCAGACTTGATTATGTAATGGGTAGAAACCTTGTGCAAGATAGGATGGAATATTCGTTGGTAAATCACTTGGTTAGTGATCACTATGCAGTTTCTGCTTCCTATGAGGTACAGTGTGATGTACCTAATCAACCCGTTCTCACACAAGACAGCACATATATGACTTAATGCTTAAAGTCAATATGTTGAATATGAATTAGTAAATATTTGATATATTCCCAGTTACTTTTTTTCCAAGACCCCAAACTCTTCCTCACGTACCAATTTACGTCTCACAGTACCCGTCCGTCAACCTAGATAGCAGAATAGTCGTGATTGGTTGAATTATAAGGAAAATTGTAGTTTTCATGGGTTGTGAAATTTACCTACTATTGTCCATGCTCTTAGAATATTACAGTTCAGCTACATCCTATTGAAGGCTCGTAGTTTTGTTTTGAGAAATATTAGTTGTTCTTAATAAATTATAATATGCACTAAAAATTATTACATAGAATAACAGTCCTTCACCAATCTATATTATATACCATAGTTTGTGCTTTACAAATCTTTACAGGATGTTTTGTAGGAACGCTAACAGAAAACGATGTTACGTTGGAATGTCTATGGGGGTAAACTACTGCAAACAGGATGGTATTGTGTCTACTATACCAACTACAGGATGGGTATATTGTCCACTACCACCTGTTAGGTGGGTAAGGGGTCCAATACCACCCACAAAATGGGTATGAGGGTCACATCCACCCACAGGAAGGGTATGGGGTCCAATACCACCCACAGGATGAGTATGGCATCCACTACAACCCACATGTTGGGTATGGGGCTCCAACCACCCACAGATTGGATATGGGGCTCCAACCACCCATAGAATGGGTATGGGGTCCAATAACACCCACTGGATGTGTATGGCGTCCATTGCCGCACGTCGACCTCGAAAACCGCAGCATTCATCTCAGAACCATGCCTATTTCACGCAGATTCCTTAATAAACGTAAGAGTTTTATATGTCACAAGAAAGATAG